ATATTATTGAATTTAACAGGATCTTTGTGCCGATTTAGGATGCTATTAATCATAGAAGTAGGGTTTGTTTGAAGTTTAGTACATCTTTTATCGATAGAGTTATTGATATGTTGTCTGATTTCTTTGATATTTTCAATGTTTCAGGCATGGTAAATGTTTTTCCATTCTTCATTAGCATCAGAAATCCAGGATGATAAAAGGTGATGAGATATAGGAATAGTAGGAATTTGTAAGCTTAAGGATTGGTTAAGAGAAGAAATAGTAGTATTAAAGTGGAAGTGGATAGTTGTATTGAATTTGAGAGTGTGTTTAATATGACGAATAATATTGCCAAGCTTTTTAAGGTTGGAGTGAAGTAAAGATACTTTGGAAAAGAAAACATGTTGAAAATTACGGACTGTAAATTTTTTATTAGGAATATGTTAAAGGGAATTTTGTGCCAAGTAGATTCAAGAGATTTATTAGTATGAATAGATAGTGGAGTATGGTTATATATGAGATTGGTATCGACTTGGTTGGCAAATTCTTCCCACTTTGAAGAATTTATAACTTTGTAGTTAAAAACTCTACAATGTGTTCATGTTTTATGTCTATATTGACCCTGTAGAGCATAAGGAAAAGACCAGCGGGAAATAAGAATTTTGTGATCACTAAGTGAGCTAGTGTTAGTATCATCAGTTTTGAAGGAAGTTAGATAAGTTAGAATAGTATAGTAACTTCAGATAAAGTCAATTTTACTGCTGTATCTAGAGATGATAGAAGAGATAATTATAGGAGAGATGATTACAGAAGAGATGAACGTAGAAGATCTCGTTCTTGTAGCCATGATCGCTCTTATAGAAGTTCTTCACGAGACAGAAGAAATTCTAGAGAAAATTCTCGAGAAAGAAGCAAATATTCAGATTCTTATAATAACAATAGTAGGAGAACTGGCTTCCGCTCTCTCTCACCTTATCGTAGAGACATTAATTACCTTGGTCATGACAATACTCCACTTTCAGCCTTCCCAGTTCCTTCTAATAACAAGTGGGAACACTTCCTCGACAACCCCTCTATCCGCACAGCTATGTCAGCCTATCTTTATAAAGAAACTAAAAAGACTGACCTTCTCCCTACCTCCCACACTACCCCTGTTAAATGTAACATTCGTCTTAAAAACAGACCTTACCAAGCAATTATTAATAGCAGTGCTGCTATCAGTATGATTGCTCACCAGACCGTTAAAGAATTAGACCTTAAATAGAGCAAGCTTCTACCAGTTTAATTGTTACAGCAACTGGTACTTCTACATGCCCTCTTGGAATTATTAAAGACCTTCCTGTAGAAATAGAAGGAGTTATTATCCCAATTACTATAGAGGTTGTTCCAGCTACCTCTTATTCATTACTTCTTAGTAATGATTGGTCTAAGAAAGTTGGAGCCAGCTATAACTGGAATAATGGTTGTTATTCCTTTAAGTGGAAGAATAAA